ACAATCAAAGTTAAGTTGATCTAGAGAACAGGATTTAACAGACTGAGGACAATAGCTTATTTTCTAGTAAAACTGTGCATTATGATTGACTGTACAATCAGTTTGTAAATAGGCAAGTCATCCGTGGCATCCATTTTGTGAGAGCGTGCATAAGGACAGCGCAGGGCTTTGTATCTGAAGGGGAAATGGTATTTCAGATTGGGGGTGGGGACAATTCCTTCAAACAGCTGGGTCTTTTCCTGGGAGCCTACCTCTAGCATAATCCTGGGGAAAAGACATTTAGCTTAAAGAGTTGTCAACAGGTGCAACTTGTGCAGCCATGTACACTTTGAAATAGTTTTTCTCCTTCAAATCAAAAGCATTGCATAGCCCTAATACATACCATATGTTCTTAAACTTCCAGATGTGTCTGTTTGTTTCTAAAGCCCCTAGGCAAACATCATATTTGCTGGGTGGCTTTGGGCCAATCATACTGTTTCCATCTTACTTTAGGGGGTTGTTGTGGGTCTAAAATAGAGACACTTGTCTATGCCATAGTGAACTCCCAGAGAAAAAGGCAGGATAAAAATTCAGTAAAATTGATGAGGTTTTTTTAAAATGAAAGGAGATCCCCATAGAAGCTGCTTTAAGCTATTACAGAAAAGAGAAGATATATATCTAAATTACCCCTAATATGATTGACCAGTTAGTTATATTTTGTGTTTCATCCATTGAGCTCAAGATAGCATTCATCATGGTAGATGAATCTGTGGTTCTGTAGATATTAATAAACTATGACTCTGAAAATCCTTTCACCCAAGGATTCTTCAACAATTCGAAAGCAACTCTCAACTATTCCTATCCCACAATAATGGCATATTTGAGAATTGAGCCAGTTTATTTCTGGCTCAGCTGGGTTGCATTTAAAGCTACAGTAAAACTAATCCTTTGAAATCCTGCAACTCTGTGAAACTGCTAGTATTTATTTGTAATGTTGACTGTAATTCAATAATATATGGAGGATCACTCCAGCCATGTCATACATGCTTCTATCCCCCCATTTCATCCCGTTTTATCCTCCTAATAAAATAAGAGGCTGGTGTGTTAGTAACTGGCTCAAGATTACTCAGGAAACCTCATATCCAAGTAAAGATTAGAACTAGATATGCCTAGTCCTATTTTATATTTAAAATAAAAAAATTTCTATTTCTGAATAATCTATTGACAATCTTGCTATAAAGACCAAAAGATGCCTAATCTTGTTGAAGAGAGGGAAATGCCTCCTGAATAATTTAGCAATCTCAAACACACTCTTATTTCATCTCCAAATCAAGGCAAAAACAATGCAATCTATAATTCAGGCATGTAACGTATATCCAGAAATGAATATTTTACGTAAATATGCTCAAATGTTAGTATTGTTGGAAGGCTGTGAACAACTTATACATGTAAAACTAGAATTGTTGATCCAGTTTGTTATTTTTGGATTAATACCTTAAGTTTGGGTATCTGGGATGAAGGAAACATGATGAATTGATGACATTCTGTACATTTCCACACCTAATGTTGTAATTCTGATGATAATCTATCCAAATGTTGAGGAAATGGGAAAGATTCATAAAGATAATACTCAAATATAGGCAATGTCCTTTTTGCATGGAGCCTATTTTGCCCTACAAAATACTTTAGTTTAACCCACATGCTATATCCTGAATTGTAGCAGCAAAATCTTTAGCATTCACATCCCAGTACAGCATTTAAAACATTGTTTTTTTAGTTAAGGAAAACAATAGGGAGTACAGTGATCATAAATAAACATTTATGCAGAATTTTTTTCCTTATTGTTTTCTGCAGTTAGTCTTTAACGACAGTTAATACATCAGGGTTGGGCCTCTAATTGTAAGGATAGTATCATAAAAATAGATCTCCCTCAATTTATTGTAAAAACAAAGGTTAAAACTAATCCAATACATTCTTAAAAGAAAAAAAAAGCATTGGTGACTTATTCATTAGGAAAGATGCCATAGTTTAGTAGTGGAGCACATGCTTTGCATGCAAAAAGTCCCAGGCTCAGTTCCTGGAAAGATTCTTGTCTGAAAATTTAAATACTGTTGGGTTATTAATGATCTGATTCAGCACAAGAGACGTTCCTATGGATACTGGGTTTTTATGCTATTGACCATAATTGCAAAATAACAGGGGGCTCTCTGGTGCAAACTCTAATGCAGAGCTGGTCAGCTGTTCCAGAGGATGCATTTCTATTTCCAAAGTTATTTTTTGGTCTGAGTGCTACAAGGAGCTTTTTTTTTTTTTTTTTTTTAGTGATGTGAAGGTATCACTAAAGAGCACAGAATTAACATTTTAATAGAAAAGCAGACACATGAAATCTTTTGGAAATGTAACAGATTTATGTTACAGCATACCAACTGTTTTTTAGAGACCAAAAAATAGCACCATTCAAACATCACCATTGTCATTGTATTTTGGCAGTGTGGTTATGAAGCTCTGGAGCCTGCAAAAATCGGAGTGTGGTTAGCAAGTTGATTTCTCCTTCCACCCATAACCTGGTAGAGCTTCATAGTACTGACCAGAAGCATCATCTTCTTTTAAGTAGCTTCCATAGATTTCAATTCTGAGGTGAGCAAGTCAAGCCCAATATGTTAGGATATACAAGTCTTTAAAGTAGGCATCTGAACTGCTTCCATTTGATCCTAGCTTCTCATGTCTCACAGCTATATTTCTTTTTCAAATCACTATCAGAAAAAGATGATGATGATGATTTTTGAAAGAAGACTAGGTTACTTTTTTAAAAACAAAATTGTATTTGATATCACATACTAGGGATTTCTGCTACCTTCTTTATCAAGGTGAGGATTAATTTGGTGCATCCAAAATGCCATCTAGAATGGTTCGGGCTGTATAAAGTATTAGGATGTTAACAACTGAAGAAAAAAAAATTAAGTGGTGTGTCAATTTTTAGAACATTTCATTAACTCTAAAAGTGTACAGTTGTCCTATGATGTGAAATTGCAAAGCTCTTCGGGTTGTTTTTGCATTATAGTTTAATTTTTGGCCACACACGAACATAGCACCTCTCTGCTGCTTATTAAGGGAACCTGATCTTTTTTCAAAATCAACTCATTGAAGTAATTATCTTTAAACTGATTTTTAGAGCAGCTGCATCTTTTCTTAGCCTCACACAGAAGCCTAAAAGAAGGCATGTATTATCAATTCTGAATCATAGAGAGATGCTGTGCTTGCACTTGTTCAAGAGTTGTAGCATGCTCAGCCATACCATCTGCTGTGCTGAGAATGGAATTAACTAGTGAAAGTTTTGCATGTATTGCATGTACAAAGCTGTATTAATAAAATGTTGTTATAGCTAATACCCTGGAAGCAATGGGAGGGAAGGGTATGCATTTGACAATAGTCTGACAAATGCAGAACAGGTTTTGTAACTGCTAACTGTAGTAAATAAAGAACATTGAAATACTAACCCTTTCCCCATTTTCAATATTTTCACTTCAAATAATTTATCCCAGTAGTTCCTACATGAATGTGCATTTAATTTGGAAATGGCTATCTTGGGGATAGCAGAACTATCAACTATTATTTAGAATGAAGAAATTCTAAAAAAAAACACCAAACAATAAACAAAACTTGGAACTTTGTTCTTATATGTGACAATAGCAGCAAGACTTCTCTATGTCCAGAGATGAAAGGACTAATGGAGTTGGATGAGATGGCAAAATTGACTGCTTGGATTAAAGCTTTATTTAGATTAGTTTCTACTTGGAAACCACTCTTGGAATTTTTTGTTAGTTTGTTTGAAACTGAAAGAAAGGAAAATTTAACTTTGAGTTTTGATTGTTAGGCTTGTTTATAATGATAGAAGTACTATTTTTTATGGTTTATTACAGTTGGGTCATTGATTTTTAGGTTTTTATCTGTATCAAACAAAGTCAAAAGTTACTTTTTGCCCTAGCTTTTTTCACCTTTTTGCCCATATTCCCAATTTTGCTTTTTCACTCTTTCTACCACTTTATTTCTAATTCTTTTTTCTTTGCTTTTTTGTATTTTGCACTTGAAATTTAATAAGATTTTGGTAAAAGCATTAGTGAAGAAATTTTCTGGGAGAAAATGTAGCACCCCAGCAGCTTATCCTGTACTCTCAGTTGCTCTATCTTAAAATTGCTTTTCTTTTAAACAAATTACACTGAGTTTCCCATATGTAATTCACTTCTTAATTAAAGGAGTATCCAGCTTTGTTGACATTACAGTCCAGTGTTTGATAAAATGTATATGATAGCATTTTAGATAGAAGCAACATAGTTTAATGTAATAGGTACCGCTTTTGTCTGGGCTTTTCCTTCCAAATGCAAAAAAATACTGTTTTAATTTTAATAGTGCATGATCTCAGTATAATGGCTCAACACTTTAATGCAAACATCAAGTTGCACTGCGGATTGAGAACCATTTATTGGCTTTAATATCAGAGATGTAATAAGGTGGCAGTATTAAGCAGGGGAGTAAACGCCAGTAAATGCTGGTAGACCTATATAAACATGCATAAGATAATAACCATTTCCAGACAGAGGGTGTTTGGAACAATACCAAGACCATCTGATTAATGGAATATTCAGAATCCTTGGATGTATGACTGTAAAAGTCTCCAAAATTATACTTCTTTTTCACAAAGAGAAAATGTGAAAGATTATTTCATGGATGGTGAGCACACTGACATTCCTGACATTTGCACTTTAAAATACACTTGTGTACATTTCTCATTATTTTCTCTTTTTCTGCTAATCTGGCCTTTCTTAATCAGATATTTTTCAAGGTGCAATGAAACTGAAGTTTTCTGCTTTTGGAATCTTGTAACTGCAATTCTAACATATTTGGAGGGTACCAGGTTGGAAAAGGGTGTATAAGAATTTATTCTGTGAGAAATGTATAAAATTGGTACAGAACTGGCATAGGAGAGCTCTTTAACATAACTTTTTTTCTTTTTGGTTTGGCAGGGAGACCCCATTCCTGAAGAAATATATGAATTACTGCGTGACAGCTCAGTGCATTCCATCAGAGAACTCCAGCAGGTCCTGCAGATAGAATCCGTAGGTAAATTTCCAGACCAAATGTTCCTGTTTAATAAATCTCAACAGATATAATGGTGAAACAACAACAAATGCATTGTATGCCACCTGACAAATGCTATTGTGAATTATGTGTTTTCTAGATTCAGATTACACAAAGTAAAACCATAGGTTATATCTGGGTTGAAAAGCTCCTCTCCCAAGACAGTATGTGGCAGTTTACCCATAGAATAATTCTGTAGCCTATTTTGGTGTTTGGCTTGAACTGGATCTAACATGTAATTCGTAATGTAACAGGGGCAGAAATATTACTTGCAAATAGGTTTTAGTAACGTTTATTATTTTCAAATCAGTCTGTAATGATTCCTGATGTTTGAAAAAAATTAGACCGTGATGTTATAATCTTCTGTGCTTGAAATCAGATATCAATCATCCATTATTCATTTCCCTGGCTTTTGATTTTTGGTCTATATAAAAGGAAAAATGAATGACATCAGGTAATGAGAGGAGAGTTAATGTTTTGTTTTACTGTGGTGACTGGACTAGGCTGCAGAGAGAGTTGGGGATACCTGTCTCAGGACTGAGGTCACAGACCAGATTGAATAGGTTTTGGCACGTGCAGGAATGTGAGCACGCGTCATGGCCACTGGGTTGGCCCTGGAATGTATTTATAAACATTTTCTTCACAGATTCCATTCTGATCCAGCCTCTCCTCCTGCCTGTCCCCTCCCCACCCCTGCCTTCTCTCTTGTGTTTGTCTATTGGTAGCTTTGTAATCTTTGCCGAGACACTATCTACGGGGGAACAGAATTTCCTGTCTTTGTTTCCGATGCCAGTTGGACCACTGGCACGTTCTCAAAAGCATTCCCGCTCCCTTTCAAAATGCCTGTAAGGGGAGGAGGGAAAAAAAGAGGGAGGGCACCAGCTGTGTTTTGCTATTGTTCCTCTTAAAAGTTGCTTGGCTTCTCCACCCGCCTGTCCCGGACTACACAAGTCATACAATGGTGTGCCTTCCAAAATTAGCAGCACTGGCTTTTTCATAGCTGGGCCTGTTGCCCTGGTCAGCAGTAGCTTTGCTGCCCTATCTGGAAAGACTCTTGGGGGAAGGGCGAGGTTAACTGGAGACCTCTGTTTTTCAATAGAAGATTTGTTTCAAGTCAACAGCATTGCTATTTTTTCCCTTGTCTGTTTAACCTTTGCACAATTATAGCCCCCGCCCTGCCCTGATAAAATTCCAGAAAATGGGGGATGGATGGAAGAAGATGGGAAGATCCAATTAAGTTCAATGGTATGGATAAGTGATAGAGCTTTGATGTCATGATTCATCTTTCTCTTTCTCTTGGGAGGTTTTAGGGACAATGAATCTGGGAATAATAGACTTTTAGAATATTGTAGAATCAAAATGTATATAGTTGGGCACTGAATCTCCAACATATTTTTGAGTCTTGATTTCTGCAGAATCTGACGTAGAAAATCTGAGGCTTTACTGTATTTCCTTTAGCCTTAAACACAGAACTCAGTCTGTAGAAACTTTGCCTTCGTTCTCTTTTTTTCCTATAGGCTTTCTATTCCTTGTTTCTTACGTTCAGAATTATTTCCCAGAAATAAAATCTGCCCTGCTTTACTTTATGTAGCCTGCAACAGTGTAGGAACTGTCTTCAAATACTGCCATTGACTTTGGAATCTGGAGGGGTTTGTTGACTCCAAGGAAGCTCTGGCTGATGTGATGAGAATTGCTTTGTTCAGCATTTCCTATGGTAAAATGTTAGAGAATGTTTATAAAGAAAGCTGGCAGCCTTATCTTTTACCCATCCCCCAGAAGACCCAATTGGCTAAAACTGAATACATCCTTAGTAGAAGGGACAGAACTATTATACTTACCTACATCTTCACTTTGGAAAGATAAAATTACAAAGCCTGAAATCTTGAAATATCTCTATTAATTTGACAAAGTACAGACCTGAACAGATGAATAAATAGTCAGATTTGTTCAAAGGCAACTGAAATCAGTCATTTATTTTACCATTTGGGTATTATTCATATTTACAATTTTGTTTTTTTTAAAAGAAGTAACCTAAAATATGCATGTAACACTTTATTACAGGCAAATATTAGTAATCTAAAGAATAAATATGGAGAAATATATTGTAAAATTTATATCAAATTAATTTGCTGTGCTATTTATTACCAAATTCCATTGAAATAATTTTGTGGTATTAAGCACCACATTATCTGAACTTGGAATAAATTGTCAAATAGTTTCCACTGCAGCTATTAAGGGGTATGATAAGAACTGCAGATTTTGAGGTCAGATCGCTAGAATTTGGCTTCTACTACAGAATGATAGTCTCACCTTGTAGCTGAAAAACGAAAATCTAAAACATACGTTCTTATTTTTCTCCTTGCTTAGAAATACATTTTAAATCATGTTGAAAAAAAAACAATTTCATTTTTAAGGTGGGATGAATCCTTATCTTTGCATCACTGCATTTTCCCTGCAGTCTTCAGTTATATCATTGCTTATCATTTATGATTCCTTCTTACAGGGGAAAATACCTGCACAATTTCATCTCCTAATTTCAAAATACTTATGCAGAATAATTATATATTTTATTTTATATAATACATCTTGAGCAGAATTAAGAAAGTTGGTAGGGCTACAGGATATAGAATTTTATTGAGTTTATTATTCTAGTACCACATTGCCTGTAATTCTTCTTGGCCTTCTTAATATGGATAATTATAGTATTTTGCTAAACTGGAACCAGTCATTTCCTTCTTTATGATTTTATGAACCTTCGGGTATTTGCTGTAGTGATGCAACTTATATATTAATTTACTTAATTACTTTGTTTTTATTTTCTCTTTTTGCAGATGAAGATACCTCTAGTTCATACATGAATTTTACCCAAATGCATGTGGGTGAAAATCGTGTTTCTTTGTCCCGTGGAAGACGAAGTTTAGGTAGGCTGTAGACTGGCTACTGTATTTCAACAAGTAAAGTATGGGATTATGTTTAGTCCAGAAATACTTGAGTTTTAGTTTTTGCAAATATGAACCAGCACTATCTTCTACCAAACCAAATAAAGTCTTCTTTACAGTTTCAATCTTTGGAATCCGTTTTGTTGCCAGTTCAGAGATGAGAATATTGGTTAATTACATGCATTTAAAAGAGATTCTGAAAATGGAAAATCATGATCCTTTAGTTGAATCAATTAATTAAAATAGTTTGTTTTTAAAAGAGCAGAATAATAAATTTGCTTGTAATGGAGGGATATGTAAGATAATTGCTAAATAACTAAGATATATATTTGGTGAAATATTTTCATCTCTTGCCCAATAGAAAACTTACAAAGACTCCTAACAACTTCAAAATACATAGCAGAAATGCCCCCAAACACTTCTGAATAAAATGAGACGCAATAAAACATGCAATAAGGAAAACAGTCATGAGTTTCAAAGTTGATTTCACTGGGAAATTTTTTTTGGGATTTTTCTAGCTGGAGCAGAACCTATTGAACCAGCAGTAATTGCTGAATGCAAGACACGGTCTGAAGTCTTTGAAATCTCCCGGAGCATGGTGGATTCAACAAATGCCAATTTTCTTGTGTGGCCACCCTGTGTGGAAGTGCAACGGTGCACAGGCTGTTGCAATACCCGAGCAATGCAATGTCGTCCCACACAGGTTCGGGTGAGACATATCCAGGTATACAGATATCTCTGCTCTTCTCCCCCAGTTTTTCAATCTTCTTTGAAAAATTACATTAAAGTTGATAGAGTGCAATAAACATATCTGACATCTTTTGAAAACAAGGTTAATATCTATGCTCCTGAACCCTGCCTAAATTGTCTCCTGGTGCTGGAATAAATTTGGCTTTAATGGTTATGAATGTTCCTTGAGTAAGATACAGGCAGTCCTCGACTTACAACCAGAACTGGTGTTGGCATCTCAGTTGTTGACCTAACCCTAGACCTGCATATCTTTATTGTACAGTTATCTTTATAAATAGTGTCTTGAATTGCTTAATTTGCATCTATACCATTTCAAGTTTTGATATATTTGCTTTATCAAATGGGGAACCTTCATGTTGTTCTGCTATGATTGTATCTGATTTTAGAGCAGATTATTTTATTTTGTTTGTAGCAGATGCATTACTATTTCAGGAGTTACTGCTTTGAGATAGTGAGATGGCTAAGTAGCTCTAATAATTCCAAGAACAGTACTGACAGGAGCATGAATTCTGATAGAGTTACTTTTGTTTTAAGGTCAAAAGAGAAAGGGAAATCTAAATGCAATCCCTAACAAAGTTGAGGGCCATGGAACTCTGCAGATATGAGGGAAACCAATTCATCCAACAAAAGGATCTTTAAAAACAACCCTAGAACACAATGGCAAATCATGTAGCATTAAAAAAAAAAGACAAATGTTATATGTTTGTAGAATGTTTACTGAACATGGGGAAATGAATGGACAATTTGTAAGATTTGCAGCTGCTGATAGAGAAATAAAAGGTAGCATAGGTACCTCGACTTATGATCATATGTTTAAACATGGTCCAGAATTACAATAGCATTGGAAAGGGTCTTTATGGCCCATAAAGCACTTTAGGCCATTTCAAAACACTGCACCCTACCCCTACAGTCACGTGACCATGATTTGAGTGTTTGGCAACCTGTTCACACTTATGTCTGATTTCCTAGTACCCTGCAGTCATGTGATCACTATTTGCAATCTTCTCTGCTGGCTTCCCCAGAAAATCAATGGGGAAGTAGGCAGGGACGATTGCAAGCTAAATGTCTTTGGAGATTCTCAGTCATCCAGGTCATGATTGTCCCAAAGGTGCTTTTTCAAAAAGCAACTGGACTTTGTTTTTCCTCGAAGATGTTTCACTTCTCATCCAAGAAGCTTCTTCAGTTCTGACTGAATGGTGGAAGATGGAAAGATTTATATTCCTTGCAGTCAACTGGTCATTAGCACTCTTTTTGAGAGTCATTGAAGCCACTTTGTTGTTTATCTGTGCCCTCAGGGTCACCTGAATAGTTCAAATGGGTGTGGGACCTTCTTGGAACTGCTAAAAGGACTATGTTGTAAGGGATAGGTAATGCCGTATCCCTCCCCCTCCATTGAGACAGGCTGTTCAATCTTAATGTAGATGGCCTCTTCGACCCCTCTTTCAAACCAGCAGCCCTCTCTGCCCAGATTAATTCTGATTCTGTCCAGAAGCTGCTTCTGCCTGTCAAAAGAACTCACTCTCATTTCTGGGGCTGGCTCAAAGAGCTCCTGTTAAGGGATGCTGAACTCCTTTGGCTGGGTATGAAAATGTGCTCCATTCTTCCATCCCATATCAGGAATTCCCTTCCTTGTGCAAATGTGGATTTTGGCAGGGAGGATTTTCATTTCCTGGCTGGAGTCCCAGGGTCTCCCTCTCCCCTCCCTTGGGCACCCCATGCACCTTACCTGGGACTCTGTCTGCTTAAAGACCCATGAGATTGCTTAATGACTGCAACTAGGAGCATGCTTCCTCCAACTTTGTTATATGGAGATGAGAATATTGATTATATCTGGAGGAATGAGTGAATGCCTACTGAATACAAAAGTGAGTGACCATTACAAGCAAAATACATTGAAGTGATTTGGTAAAGAAATAAAAGACTAATTCATGTATACAATATATGAAAGAAGACTCAAAGCACTGAGAGGAAGGGGAAGACCAAGAAAGTCATGTTTGGATGGATTTGATGAGATCTTCAAAAGATAAAATTTAAAGAACAAAAAGGCAGTATGATGCAATGTATGGTCAAAATTATGCAAAAAGTAGTTTAATATTGTTGTGCAAAGATAATTCTTTGTTCATTTGCCAGCACCTGTTTAAAACAATAGAACTGAAACAGTACACCTGGGCAGTAACAGAAAAATATCACTGCAATTAAATTGGCTATGTATAGGAAACAGAAGATGAGAAAGTACAATCCAGTCAGCCAGAACTTCCAGGTGCATGTTGAGGAACTAATAATGAATTATTGTGTCATATATGAGTTAAACCTTGGAAATTAAATAGAGTATTTATGCCAACAGGATATGACCTGGTACAGTAAGAATTTAATATCAGTGTAATGATTAACTTACAGCAAAAAGAACTGAGAAGAAATAAGAAATAAGAGTCACAAAAATTTATATAGAAAAAAGATTCTCAAAATATCAAGAATTTAAATGGCATCTAGAACAAGTTATCTTGACAGGCAGACATTATAAAGCCTTTGGCAACAAAAAGGAAGTACAGCAACTAATCGCAAACTTCCAGCATCAAGTAAGGACAAGGAAAGATATGTCAATCAAGAATTTCAACTCAAAGAGGAAAATAACAAGAAAAGAGAGATGAGAGGTACTTTTAAGAAAATCAGAGAGCTCATAGAAAAATTAAAGGTTATAGGAATATTCAAGAGTAATTATGCAAGGGATCTAATTGAAATAAATGAGACTAAAATTGCTTGAGCAATTAATTAAACTCTTTACAAATGGGATTATGAGATGACAGAGATATTGGAAGGGAGGTAATATATTTAGGAAACAACTCGGTGAGAAAATAAGATGCAAAGCAATAGAACACTGTCAAACAGAAAAGCATTAGATATAGATGAAATACCCATTGAACTGCTTACAGGCTTAGGGAAAAGAAAGTTGAATTTATAGCCAACAAATAATGGACATGTTTGTGAGGCATAAAGTTTGGAAATGTGAATGTACATATCTATTTTGAAGAAAACCAATATCAGAGAATGTCCAACGTTTAAGAAAGATATTTACCTTTATTCCTTGACTACAGTAAGGTTTTTGTTTTGTAGATTATATCAGTGGGACATTTTAAGGCTAATGGGCACACAAGATTGCCATTCTTTTGAATAAATTTCACAATAAAATTATTATAAAAACAATTTGGAAAAATAGAGTAGTTCAGAAAGGTAGAGGAAATATTGACTCCTTATTTGTTAAACTTGTGTGACAAATATGTTATAAGAATAGAGGGATTGGAAGAAATGACAGCAGACATTGTAAAGTAAAAATTGGAAACTGAACTAAGAATTTGAGATGTACAAACAACAGCAGAAGAGCTCACTAGGAAAGTGAAAGTAGAAAGTGAAAAATCTGGACTAAAGTTAAACATAAGAAAGCATTAAGTGTGGTTAGTGGATTTACAGATAAGGTGGATAGTTCTGGATTTTGGGGGTAAAGAATAAGTAAAGATGGCTAGTATACAAGAGAAAAATAGGTTATCTTAAGAAGGAAGGCAAAGACAAACTCAGACAAGATCATAAAGGTTTAGAGGATTTTTTTTTATGTCAACAGATATAGGAACAATCCCCCCCCCCCAGTACTATGAAAGTCAAATATTGTACCACTGTGAAAGGTGAACACTGAGAAAATAATGCAGAAAAAAGATAGTTGTATTTGAATTATGAGCATGCAGGCAGTCATTGAGGGTGCCATAGGTTGCAGAAAGGTCTTGAAAAGAAAAGCTTGTTTGCTACAGATGATGATTAGCAAGCAGAAACTCGCCTACTATGGACAAATAATGCAAGTGGACCATAAAAATTAATGTGCTTGTCAAGTTTGAGGGAAAAAGAAAAATGGTGTTACAATGGATAATATAGATTGATAGGTTCGGGGATATTGTTATAATGTCCCTGGAAACTTTTTGGATTGGGACTTTAGACAAGTTGAAATGGAAGTCATGTATACACCAGGAATTGATTCAATGGTATATAAATACTTTCACAGTTTAAGTTTAATAAGGATTTAGTTATTTATGATAATATTCCTGCATCATGCTTGGATCAGATATTGCCAATTATATTTCATATATAATGCAATTCTATAAATGCCTGTTTTAAAAAAGCCATGTTAAGTTCTGTATTGGCTTCTACTATGTTTATAAAGGAGGAGTACTCTCTAACACAGTGGTTCTCAACCTGTGGGTCGGGACCCCATTTGGGGTCGAACGACCATTTCATGGGGGTCGCCAAACAACACAGTCCGCCATTTTTCCCCCCCTTTTCCTTAGCTGTGCTATTCCCTTTTATTCTATTGGCTTTTGAAAGCCAATAGAATAGACTCTCTTGAATAGAGTCTAATTCTATTGGCTTTCAAAAGCCAATAGGAATTGTCCAGGCTGTCTCTGCCCTGCTGAGCCCGCCAAAAGTCCCATTCTGCAAACGGTGCTGCATCAGTTGAGTAGTCCTCGACTTACGACCGGTTGAGTAGTCCTCAACTTACGACCAGTTGGGAGTCGCGGCATTAAAAAGGTTGAGAACCACTGCTCTAACACATTATCCTTTAGTATATAATAAAATAATTAAATTCAGTAATCCAATGGTGGAATTGGCAGAAATGAACCTACTGACAAACATGCTAACAAACAGCTTGATTCTTTGTTGTGCTGGTGCACCTTAACAAATATCATATCCCCAGCTGCTCTTCAAAGTTATCTTCTCTGGATTATATTGAAAGTGGGTATCTTGCAAATGATATCTTCTGATGCTGTTCAGTTTCCAGTCAGTATGGACCTCTGTGCTTCTTCCTGGACAAATCATTTAAAAATACAAATTCCTTGCTTGACATCTGTATGAGAACAAATTCCTTGGATTTTTCATACAACAATGCACAAAGGAAAAAAAATGTTACACCATTTCTAAGTGGGAAATTCCTTTCTCCATAAAACTTTATGAAGCAGAAGAGAATGAACTTGGATGGAATGAAGGGGATGTGATAGTTTTTTTTTTGGGGGGGGGAACCAAAGAGTTCATAGGATAGTCCATGAACATGATCCTGAAATGTTTTCTTTGAAAATAAAAAAGGCTGTATTTTTTATTCAGAAACAATGTCTACTAAGCAATTTCTGTGCTATAGTGGAATGTGTTTTTTAAGAAAATTAAACTGAAGGGACATTCGATCATTGCTAGGTTCCTGGGAAGATCATACTTATGCTTTATGTCTGCATTTGAGTAACATGTTTAACCAGACAGGCACAATTGTAGTTCCTTATTCTTAGATGGGCACCAATCAGTCATGCAACCTGGTTCAAGGATTGTCATCTGGAGGAACAAAGATCCCATCTGTTTCTTCCATCCCCTTATGCTAGGAAAATATTGGCAAAACTTTATTACATTTGTGGCTGTTTTCGTATTAGCCACACAAGCCGTTTGGATGTTGCAGACATTTACTGTTTTAAAAGTATGTTTTGTGACTGTCAGACCTTGACAGTGAATGTTGTAATGCAGCATGTTGTTTTTTCAGAGTTGTGTGCTTTGGTCTCATTTCATTGGAGGACTGACTGACTGACTGGTATAGATGTTTCTGGGCTTCTGAATTTGTGTGACATACTTTATCCAAAAACATACTTTGAGTAACAACTGACTCCAAATTCGAGGATTAAAATGGTCCTTTTTCTGACCTTGAATTGGTTAGGTACTAGGTTTCCATGTCATGTAGGACCAGAAATGCCTCTGTTAAGAATGCTGTGCAAACCATAGCCTCACATCACATTTAAAACAGACTTCAGTAAAATTGTATCCCTCTCCTCCCTAAAGTATTTCTTTTGCCCACAGTCACTCTATAGATTTAACCCTCTTACTCTTAGGTGGGGCAGCTCAGAGATCCCATGTTGTGTGGTAGTTAAGATATGGACTAGGAATGGGGAGATCCAGGTTCTAAATGAGGCTTGGGCCGATTACTCCCTCTCAGCCCTAATCAATATGACAGGCATGGTGATAAAGAAAAACTTGATATATCATGCACTGAATGCTTTGCTGTAAGAACTAAATACAGGCAGACCCTGCAGTGCTATGGAACAAATGCTAAGAAAATCAGAAGCCTTTAGCTAGAGTAGTTTGGTGTAGAGTTTTTCCTTTGTCTTCTGATAAGAAATCTGCTGTTACACTTGTGACAGGGACTTGCAGTTTGATCCAGGGTGGCAGGAGGTGACAGGCAAGTAAACAATGATAATTTCTTGCAAGGAGAATGAGTTCAATAACTTCTTGGTCTTCTTCAGCTTCATATAGGTATTACAGGATCAGCTAAGAGGAATTATCTTGAGCAACGAATAGGAGCCAGCACTGTCTTTCATGATGCATTTTTACAATTTGTTTTAGTGAATTAATTTGATATTCTAAGCAGGAGAATTTGATAGTTTGAGTGTAATATTCCAATTTCCCCAGTTTGGACTTTAGCTTCAGTCCTTCATTAGGATATGCTAATGGATTAATCTAAGATGCTATTTTGACTGAGATTAATTAGACTACATCTGGGCTTTATCACAAGGCAATAACAAAATCTTTAATAGTAATAATGCTGCCTGAATTGAGATAAAGTCACAGTGCTATGTATCACAAAGTTTGTTCTCTCTTTTTGATAGGTAAACAAGATTGAAGTTGCTGAAAAGAAGGCAGTCTTTAATAAAGCAATTGTAGCTTTAGAAGACCACCTGGCATGTCGATGTGAGCCAGTATCACCCAGACTTCCCAGTCGGGAAAATTCACGTGAGCACAGAGGTAAGTAATGTAGAATTTATACTTATGAGAACTGGGTACATATGAAGAAACGTCTGAAATAATAAGTAGAATTCTTTAAAAATATGTTTGTCAGTGTCAATAAACTCTTATATACTGATGTTTATTGTGCACCCTCTTTTTTTGGCAGGTGAGCCCCCAGTAAGTGCTGTAACTTCTCTTCCAGCAAGAGCAAGAGCACACAGGTTCCCACCACAAAAGAGGAAGCATCGAAAGTTCAAACATGTACATGATAAAAAAACATTGAAAGAAATTTTCCCAGCATAAAAATGCTGGCAGGCAGAAGTACAAATGTCAGGTAAATGTACCAGATATAATCACTCATTTGTATTGAATTGAATTGAATTGAACTGAACTGAACTTTATTTGGCCAAGTGTGATTAGACACACAAGGAATTTGTCTCCAGTACAGGAGCACTTAGTCCATATGCAAAGCAATAGAATAGTAAAAATCATCATAATAATAATACCAATAAGAGGGGGAGTAAAGAAGATAATAAGAAGGATAAATAATAATATTACAGACACACTGCATGGGTAAATATTAATAAACATTAGACAGCACTGTGAGAATTAGGTGTTCAGCAGAGTGATGGCACAAGGAAAAAAACTGTCCCTGTATCTAATTGTTTTGCCATGCAATGGCCTATAATGGTGGCCTGAGAGGAAGAGTTGGAACAGTTTATATCTCAGCCCTTCTTCTGACCCGCACAATATACAAGTCTTCTACGGAAGGTAAGCTGGTTGCAATTATTCTTTCTACAGTCGTAACTATCCATTGGAGTCTGTACCTGTCTTATTTGGTTGCTGTATTTTGGGAACTTCTTCAGCCAAGGTTGTTTTCACACTAAATCCATTTGAATTACTGAAGTATTGTTTTTCCACAGTTGGCTGGAGAAGGAATTCAGATGACCGAATTCCTTATTTCATTTGGGGAGTGCAAAAATATGTGTGTTTATTATGAGTTTGAGACAAAACAGCCCAATTTGAAATATTCTGTTGAAACAGTTGGCTGTGTTCCAGCTGAACTAAAATTAAAACAATCCAAATATTCTGATTATAGGAATATAAGAAACACCAGGGCTTTTTTTTGTCATAGAACGCCCAGAACGGAGTTCCAGTACCTTTTTGGGATGGAACCTTGTAGGGTAGGCAAGGCGGGTTATATAATGTGTGTGAGTTCCGGCACCTTTTTTTTTTACAAAAAAAAAAAAAAAACCACTGAGAAACACTGTGAATTTGGAAGAAGCCCCATTAATAGTGTTTCTCATCCCAGATCCAAAAGACTATGAAAGATGGCAGTCTCTGGTGTCGCCTTCTGTCTAGCTAAATTGTAGGAAAAATAACCAAAAAGATGAGTTTTAAAATATTTTTGAAATTATTAAAGCAAACAATGGGAATTTAACTTAGCAATCATCCACTGAAAATTCAATTTAGATTACAATCTTTATACCAGCTATTTTGTAATATCGATCAGTAGATTTGGCGTGTGTTTTTTCTTTTGTACCTCATTGCCAAATATAACTGAATTGAACTCCTTGATTTTTCTGTTTATTTATTTGCAAATGATGATGGAAGCTGCTGCAAAAATGTTTACTGCAAAAATTCTGTTAACACTACCGCAATAATAAGCAAACATGTTAAGCTCAAGAAATTAATACAAAAATATGCAGCATGCATATAAAGCATGCATACACATGAAAGCTTAACAACCCAACCAAGCCAAGTGCTTGGTTAGTGCTCTTTGCATGTACAAAACTTTAAATATATTACCAACACTTGTATATGAAGTTCAGTAACATGTGCTTGCAAAGAAACGTTTGCATAGCCTCTCTGCAAAATACAGTAGAGGCCAACACAATTTAATCCAACCGCCCACAGATATTCTGTATTCCCTGTAGAGTAACATTTTTAAAGTTGTAACTTACCAGTCCAGCTGGCAGCAGGCAGCTGCAAGCTATCTTCTGCCTGTCCACATTTTTAATTGTTGCTTTCTCCTCACCCTGTCAAGCATATTGACATATTCCTATTGCAGTGGAAACATGAGTGCTTCCTATGCTTGTACAAGGAAAAAGAAATGGATAAAGTAAGCTAATCACAACCTGAGAAACAATAATAAATCACAGCACCCAAGACACTGAAAATGATGTACTGTTAAAATGCCAACTTTTGTTCCATATGTGTTTTAAGCTCAGGAGACTTGAAACAGCCAATCAGTTGCCCAGCAGTGCCCTTGACATGATCAAATGTTCTGCAATATTCATTTACTGCCATTCGACAAACCTGCTGTGCAATGTTATTTGTAATATTGTCAGCACAGTAAAGTTATAATGATAAATCTTTCGTTACTATGTCAAGCTTTATTTGTGGGAAGAGATATGAAATGAAGCCAGTTGTTAAAGCCCACCCAGCCCAAATCAAGAAATTCATATATAATTCATGAGAAAGTTGCAAAGATCAAACCAAAATAAGCCTTTAGCATTTAAAAAAAGTGCTTTTTTTAAAGATTCAAAATTATCCTGTCATAAATCATCGCTGAAAAAAATGACAAGACAGTTTAGGAAAATAAGAATGCTACAAATCGACATCAAAATTGTTACAATGTTCTTGAAGGATTTTTATTAGCAGATTTTATGAAACTCAATATGAATTTCTGTAGAGTGTTCCCACAATCATATCCTCATAGGCATTTTATTATAGATTTTTTTTCTTTTTGCCACCCTGTAATCCCTTAATTTGGGTAGAGTTGGGTTGACTGGATGGGAGTTGAGTGTTTACTGGCCAGTTGCCCTTCCTGATACCTATGCAGAGTTCGCAGCAGATATTTTTGCTTTGCACCCTATGAGAGAAACATCTGTCACTACCTAGGATTGAACTTTCAACCTTCCAAGTGGGAAGTGAGTGTCTTTACCACTAGGCCACCACACCATTCTATTGTTAAAAAAAAAAATCCCAGACTTCTGGAAAAGCAATGAAGATTTATTTTATTTTTTATGAATTTATTACATTTTATATGCTACCCATTTAGTGACTGTGTTTTGTATGGAAGCAATCCTTGAATTTAGCTGTCAGGACAGAAATCTTCTAGATATGAAAATGTGAGGTGGTATAAGAAAACCACAACCAGCATCATACCTGGCTCATTTAGGCACCATGAGCAGATGACTTGTTCTCTGGAATTGAATGCTAACCCTCCTTTTGTTCTTTCCTTATGTTTCAGGTTTATTTAATATATTTGCTGTATAGCCCCCATGGGGTTATCAAAAGTTTCTCTCCGTCCATCTGCCTCAATGCCCTTTTGGACGGCCAACGGTGCTTCCCAATTCTTCATTCGCTGAATGTTTTCTCACCAAAGTTTGCCATTTAAGTTCATAATGGCATTACATCTGCCTCTTGAAGAAGAAAAAGGAGAGAGGAAATAAAGAGCAAAACAACAGCAATGGGAATGGACAAGATGCTTTTTGCTGCAACAAACACTATCGAAATATTGCAAGACTTGTGGTTCTAATGCATTTTGGAAGTGGTGGGTTTGGGGAAAACGGGAATATAACAAAGTTATTTTTCCTCCTTTTTTCTTCCCCATCTTGGACTTAACTGGGCTCAGGTTGTTTACTGTGGCAGTGGGCATGTCAAGAAAGTCAGTATGGCAAACGGTGACAGCAGATGCACTAAGGACTTTTACTGTCATGTTTCCACTGATATGTTTAATGTCTTCGTGTATATTTCATTTTTCCTACCATGCCTTGGGGAATTGAAGCAATCAATACTAAATTCCCATTCCTAACACTTTCTGGAACCAGTTATGTTGGGAGTCCATCTTACCCACCCTCATGCAAAGCTTCCTCATGGGTCAAAGAAGTAATTTCTGAAAGTCATGTTAAGAAAGACTTGGCTCCTCCTGTCAATTGAGTTTAGAGATGTTTCTGTTAATAAATTTACATTGGGAAAAGTAATAGTTGTGACTCATGGACAAACTGGGGCTTCTAGCACCCCTGATGTGCTATTTTTGCAACTGCTGCCTTTGTAGTTGCTAGAATAAAGCACTGCTTTTTAGTAAGCAAGGCCACAGCAATATTTCAGCATGTTGTTTTAAGATTAGGCAGTATACAGGCAATCAGCAGCAGCATCTCTCTAAATGATCTTAAATGCCAGTTGAGGTAAAGAGGTCTCTAGTTAGGATCACCTAAGAAAATAGCAGCAGTTTCGACCAATCATTGATAGGATATAGTTATACAGCATCAGCCATCATTTGTATGTCATTTTTTTCCCCTCTAGCATAGTCATTTATGCCCAGATGCAGTCTTACACAGGGGCATCGGTGGAGTTGGGTAAGGGGTCAGAAGTAAAAAGAAGTAAAGATGGCAGTTGCGTTTGCCATCTTGATCCCACCCCATTCCTGGATACCCCAAGTCTTACAGTACTAATCTCAGGTTAATATCTTCCAATCTTATGAAAACCAAGCTGTGTAAAATTTTAGAAAAGCCATACAATGCTGCACAATGTATTGAGTATGTATAAAAGTCAAGTGGTGCTGAATACCATTACACCAAGTGCTGCTGGCCCCATCCCAGTCCAATTAATAACATCTGATGGATATGGCAGATTTCTCTCTCCTTGGGACTCCAGCTTGGGATTTGCTGTCTTTAAAAATATGATAAATAAGCTGTTTCCTGTCACTAAATGCAAAATTCACTGGAAGTCTTCTGTTGAGACAGTAGCCTTTGAAAAAAGTTTAATTGCCTATGGACCTTTACTGAGACAATACTGAACAAAAAAAGGAAAGGAATATGTGAATGTGTAACATCCCCTTTCCAGTTACATTTTAGCTCTGTTCATTTACTGTGTTGTTATAAAAGAGGAGAGACAAAACAAAAATTGCTGAGGTTATAGATGGGTAGAGTTTGACCGAGGTTTGGGGCATTTAAGGTCTAATTCTATAATTTCTACACTATTGCTTGCCTCATGATGGAAAAATATGTTTAAATCTTAACTGAAAACATTCTAGTTTTATCCTCAGTGACTAAACACATGATAGAATCCAGCAGTAATACAAATACCTTTATTAAAAGAATCTTATCTAAATACCTGAAACTATGAAAAACTCTTGGTAAGGGGGCATCAAGACAAGAAATAAAGCCTTTTGCAATCTTTAAAACATGTTAAATGAGCTATGCAAACCTGGTTGGTTAGGGTTAACAGTTGTGTGCCACAAAATTCCAGCTGATCATTAGATGGCAGAACAGAGTTTCTGTAATGACTATATTGTTGTCTAACCCAGATTTTTGCACCTCAGGTGATAATTCTAAATTCTTTTGGTAAGCCACATTTGGATTTGTTCCTAGCTCTGAACTATTAGCCATGGTTTACAGATTACAGTGGCTGTGCAACATGTTAAAGCCAAATGCAACAACCCACCCAATAATGTATGATGTGCAAATTGAACAACCTATTTTACTCCAGTTGAGACAAAAGGAAAGATGCCACAATTGGGCAAACTAAGTAATACAAACACAAACATGGAACAACTAGGGTTCTAATAGGAGAACATTATTTTCTGTCACGTACCCCTGCCTGATGAAGGATTCTCAAAATGCACCTTTTCCTCATTCCATTTTCAGTCCAACTACCTATGGAAACAAAATGGAAAATTAGTTGGAATGCTTATTTTACCTCCTCTTTCAGTTTTTATTGTCCAAAGATAATGGGTGTCAATAATCTCCTCCTTTACTTTCATTTGAGTAATGCTACTGATGTTCGGATGCCCTAGATCAGGGGTATCACACTGCTAGCCCGCAGGCCGATTGCATCATACGGAGGCCATGCCTACCCCAGCTCCAGCAATGCAAAAAAAAAAGTCACGATGTGTCACGGCATGGCACGTGATGCGATGAGTTTGACACCCGTGCCCTAGATCAACTTTTATGACACATCTTGCTTCAGCCCATTTTTTCTCATATGAAAACATCCATAGTCCTCTAACACCTGACAAGACTGAGATTTGTGGTCATTAATTTGCATTTAGCCAGATTGTACTGGTTTAAAAAAAGCATTAATACTATAGCTGTGGTCTCTCAATATAATTCCATGGCACCAAGATGTATGAAAAGTCTGCTCAAAACAGTTTGGAAATATGCATCACCTGTCTACTCACTTTATACTCAATGGTTTATTTCTGACATTAAAATACTTGCTATTCAGTCCTATTTCACTTTGTTTTCAAAGTCCATTTGTTGTTGTTTTTTGCATACTTTTATTTGTAAAGTGGGAGAAGTCTTTCATCATCCCCCATTTTATGTACAATTAATTTATACTCTGTACTGTATTTAAAATTGTTTTTAAAAAATCTTAAAACCCAAAGTCTTAATGGTTTTATGTTTCATTGGGATTCAATTCTACTATGCAGGCTGAAGAGAAAGTGATAAGTCTTAGAAGCCAAACTATATTTTACATTTAGATATTGTTGTTCATTATCGCTAGTCATTTTTTTCTCTAAGTGTTCTGCGTTCAAAATTCAGGGGTGTCCATGGGGGATGGGAAAAAAACAAGATAAAAGCTGTAATGGTACAAAATGAAGCTCTATCTGCTTTTTATACATGTCACAATTATCATCTTGAAATAGACTGAGCTTGAATCATACCATTGTGGCCATTTTGATTTTTTTGTAGTCATGCCCTGCAGATACCCCTGCAGGGTACTGATAACAGCAATCTGATAGCTGAAATTAAGAGAATTCCATCATCTAACTTCTGTCATCTCTGATGAAAACACTTTCTCTAATCCAATATTGCTAGCACCACTCTATCATCTACCCACCCCAGAAGTGAAGTTTTTCCACCAACAGCAGACGGTAGTTGATGGAATTCTTTCAGCATCATTGATAAAAGCTAAAAGAATGGGGAAATGCAAATCTTAATATCTTTGGTTTCAAATGCTTACACACCATAAAGTGCAGTACTGTATTTCATATTTGCTTCATTACCAAACTGAATTTACTGAAAGGAAAAAAAATGTATAAAAAGCATTCCTCTGTCTTTTCCTGGGAGACTGAGCACACAATTGTTATATTACCATCACACCAGTGGCATTTGGAAATTGGTGCTGGTGAAGCCAACATAGGAAAAAGTGCCGTACTAAGTGAATTAGGTACGATTTGGCCACATGATGAATTGTAATGTTGCAGAGCTCACACTGTATTTCTTTAACTTATGGTAATAGTGATCTCATATAAAAATGTTTCAATATGCACAAGCCATTGGTACAACAGAATAAATTAACCATTGGATGACGGATGCATCTATCCATGCAGAAAATTAGATCAATTTGAACAATTGTATCGCATAAAGTTAATTTTCAAAGTGATTTGCTGGACAAATTCCAGAAAGATAGTCATGTTAGGCATGTTTACATATATATTCATCATCTAGTACTTGATGAATCAATAATACTGGTTTCTACTTGAAAATATTAGGCTGGATCCAGACCAAGTTAGTTGCTCTTTAAAGGAGAATATTTGTATCTCAGGCTTGAAATGAGGGGTCCTTGGCGCTTTCTGAGTTTTGTTGTTTTCTTACAAATGGTTCATTATCCAAATTATGTAACATCATCAGTGCTAGTCTAGTCTATCACTGTCTAGACTAGCACTGATGGTGTTACCTAGTTTGGGCAACGCAATGTCTGCAAGAAAACAACCAAGCTCAAAGAGCACCAAGCACTCCTCGTAGTTGCTCTTTATTTTGTAGAAATCTGTAAACAAATTAGCCATGGACAAATCCACTGAGTTTATAAGACAAAATTCTGAAATACATAGCTAGAGAATCATTATATATTGCACATTTTAAATTAAGTTTAAAAGTGATGAGGCCAATCCAGTTTTAGTACTTCTTCTTGTGCCATATCCGTTATCGGATGTTGGTGATCATGTTGGCGATCCTGTTTTTATCAGCAGCCGCACGAAAAAGTGCTGCTGAGTTTTGTCCAAACCAATCCCTTAGATTTTGAAGCCATGATGTTCTTCTTCTGCCTGGACCTCATTTGCCTTCAATCTTTCCCTGGAGGATTAAATGGAGTATGCCTTATTTTTCTGGGTGTCACATCACATGTCCAAAATATTCTAATTTTCGTTTTTTAATTGTTTTGATGATTTTCCTTGGCCTTCCCAGGCAGCTTATCACCTCCTCATTTCTGATTTTGTCAACCCAGCTTATATGTAACAGCCGCCTGTAAATCCACATTTCAAATGCTTCTAGTCTCTTCAGGGGGCATTGACTCATCAAGTATTAAATGATGGATATATAGGTGATCTCCCTAACATGGTTACCTTTCTGGAATTTGTCCAGAAAGTCATTTTGGAAATTAACTTTATGAGATAAATTTGTTCAAAATGATCTGAAATTTCTTGGCAATTTTTTTTCAGAAGTGGTTTGCCATTGCCTCGTTCCTAAGGTTGAGTGAAAGTAAGGTTGATTGGTAATCAAGGATAGCAGATTTAGTACTACACACTAAGGCTAGACTGCCTGCATTGGTTTTCAATCTGTTCCAGATCCAGTTCAAAATGCTGGTGATTATCTTTAAAGTTCTACATGGCTCAGCTCCCAGTAAACCATCTTTCCTAGAAGAGATTCAGCATGTGCTGTTTTTCCAAGGCAAGAAGGTGCTCACCTTATGTGAAATGAAAGGAGGAATCTGTCAATGTACCTTCTGAGAGGTTTCACTCACAATCTGGAATGCCTAATCTGTGAAAAGCGATAACATACAACAAGGCTGTATATTGTCACTCTGCTTATTTAACTTATATTCAGAGAACATTATGTGAAATGCCAGACTGGATGAATCACGAACTGGAATTAAGAATGCCAGGAGAAATATCAACAACCTCAGATAGGCAGATGATACCACTCTAATGGCAGAAAATGAAGAGGAACTAAAGAGTCTCTTGATAATGAGAGTGCAAAAGTTGGCTTGATTATCAAAAAGCATTAAACATTAAAAAAAACCTAAAATCATGGCATCCAATCCTATAACTTCCTGGCAAATAGAATGGGAAGAAATGGAAGCAATCAAATATTTTATTTTCTTGGGCTCCAAGACCACTGTAGCCATGAAATTAAAAGATGCTTGCTCCTTGGGAGGAAAGCTATTGAAAACCTAGACAACATATTAAAAAGCAGAGACATCATCTTGCCAAAAAAAGGTGTGTACAATCAAAGCTATGGTCTTCCCAGTAATAATGTATAGCTGTGAGAGCTGGACCATAAGGAAGGCTGTGCAACAAAGAATTAATGCTTTCAGATTGTGATGTTGGAGAAGACTCTTGAGAGTCCCTTGGATTACAAGGAGATCAAATCAATAAATCCTAAAGAAAATCAATTGTGACTGTTCCTTGGAAGGATAGATATTGAAGCTGAAGCTCAAATATTTTGGCCATGAAACGAGAAGAGAGAACTCATTGGAAAAGACCCTGATGTTGAGAAAAACTGAAGGCAAAAGAGGAAGGGGATGGCAGAGGATAATGAGATTTAACCAGAGATGGTTCGGTAGTCATTGACGCAATGGGCATGAATTTGGGCAGACTCAGGGAGACAGTGAATAACAAGTGGGCTTGTGTGCTATGGTCCATGGGATTGCGAAGAATTGGACATGACTTAGCAACTGAATAATAACATATTTCAGAAGGATGTGGAAAAGGGTATATCAGAAATTCACTACTGAGGTACATCAAGAAATGTTGCTACCAACAGAATAGAATAGAATAGAGCTGGAAGGGACCTATACCATCTTAGACAAGTGACTCTCTAGCCTCTTCTTGAAAATCTCCAGTGATGGAGCAGCCATGATTTTTGGAGGCAAGCTGTTCCACTGGTTAATTGTCCCCACTGTCAGGAAGTTTCCCCTTAATTCCTCTCTTTGATCAGTTTCCAACCATTGTTTCTTGCCTTGCTCTCTGGTGCTTTGGTGAATAACATGACCCCCTCTTCTTTGTGGCAGCCCCTCAAATACTGCTATCATGCCTCCCCTATTTCTTCTTTTCTTTAGACTAGCCAAACCCAAGTCCTGCAGCTGTTCTTCGTATGTTTTAGTCTCCAGGCTTTGATCATCTTAGTTGCTGTTCTCTGAATTTTTTCCAGACACTCAACATCTTTTTTGTGATATAGTGACCAAAATTGGCTGCAGTATTCCAGGTGTGGTCTTACTAGAGTTTTATAAAGCCGTGCTAATACTTCGCATGTTCTTGATTCTATGCCTCTGTTTATTCAACCCAGGATTGTATTACCTTTTTTGGCTGCTGCTGCACACTGCTGGCTCATAGTCAAGTGATCATCCACTAGGACTCCAAGGTCCCTCTCACAGTTACTGTTTTCAAGACAGGTCTCACCTAATCTGTACTTGTACCTTTGATTTTTCCTGCCTAATTGTAAGACTTTGCTTTTCTCCACATTGAAACTCATTTTGTTGGATAGGGCCCATTTTCAGGTTTGTCAAGATCTTTTTGGATCCTGAGTTTGTCTTCTGGGGTGTTGGCTACTCCTGTCAGTTTGGTGTCATCTGTAAAATTGATGAGTTCCCCTTCAATTCCCTCATCTAAAGTCATTGATGAAGATATTGAAAGTACTGGGCCTAAGATGGAACCTTGTGGTACCCCACTGCTTACTTCTCTTTATGTGGATGTAGTGCCATTGAGGACTACTCATTGAGTATGGTTTGCCAACCAGCTACAGATCCATCTGGTGGTGATGTTGTCTATTCCACCTTTTTCTAGCTACCAAGGAGTAGGTTGTGGTCTACTTTATCAAATGCCTTACTGAAATCTAAGTATACTACATCTACAGCATTTTGCTGGTCTATTAGTTTAGTCACTTTATCAAATAATGAAATAAGATTGGTTTGGCATAATCTGTTTTTAACAAACCCATGCTGGTTACTAGTTATAACTTTGTTTGCTTCTAGTTGTTCGCAGATGTTTTTTGATTATCTTTCTAGGATCTTCCCAGATATTGATGTTAAACTAACTGGTCTGTAGTTTCCTGGGTCCGTTCCCCCCCCCCTTTCTTGAAGATGGGAACCACATCAGCCCTTTTCCAATCCTCAGGTACTTCCCTGGTTCTCCAGGATTTTTGCAAGATGTGGTGCAATGGTTCTGAGACAACATCTGCCAGCTCCTTCAGAACTCTGGGATGTAGTCTGTCGGGTCCAAGCAATTTATATTCATCAAGGTC